ACCAATATGCAGACTGCATATAGCTAGTTTGAAAACTTACAGATTTGGATTTGATTTCTTGTGTTTTTTGAAGTCCTTGGGGTCTAATTAGTAGGAAAAGATCAAAACTTGAGCTAAAAGTTTGTATTTGAAAAAGTTGTCTATAGGCCATATTTGCCTCTATGGACAATATGCATTCAAAATGTAAAAAAATTATTTTCTGTTCTATGACAGATATTTGAGTTCTGTTTTTTCTGACATGTGCAGATAGTCCATGTGAAGATCGGTGCAAAGTTTCAGCATTGTAGCTTTGTAAGTTTTCACGCAAAAATTTTATTTGTATTTGAGCACTTCTTGTGCACCAATATGCAGACTGCATATAGCTAGTTTGAAAAGTTACAGATTTGGATTTGATTTCTTGTGTTTTTTGAAGTCCTTGAGGTCTAATTAGTAGGAAAAGATCAAAACTTGAGCTAAAAGTTTGTATTTGAAAAAGTTATCTATAGGCCATATTTGCCTCTATGGCCAATATGCATTCAAAATGTAAAAAATTATTTTCTGTTCTATGGCAGATATTTGAGTTCTGTTTTTTTCTGACATATCCAGATAGTCCATGTGGATATTCCCTAGAAAGTTTTTGAGCACTTTTTGACTAACATTGTGCAGACCAGAAATTGCAACTTTTTAAACTTACAGATTTGATTAGTTTTTTTGAGTTTTTTTTAACTCCCTGTGGTCCAATTAATAGGAAAAGACAAAAACATAAGAGAAATTGGCATATTTAGCAAAGTTGGTCATTGGCCATATTTGGTCCCTATGGCGTATATGCATGAATGACCAAAATTATTTCTTGATCTATGGCAGATATTTGAGTTCTGTTTTTCCCACATATAGAGATAGTCCATGTAGATATTCCCAGAAAATTTCAGCCTTGTAGCTCTGTAACTTTTCAAGGAAAAAATTAATTTGTATTTGAGCACTTTTTGACTACCAGTGTGCAGACCAAAAATTGTTACTTTTTAAACTTACAGATTTTAATTAGTTTTTTTGAGTTTTTTTTAACTCCCTTGGGTTCAATTAGTAGGAAAAGACAAAAACATGAGAGAAATTGGCATATTTGGCAAAGTTGGTCATTGGCCATATTTGGTCTTTATGGCCTATATGCATGGAAATTACAAAAATTATGTCTTGATCTATGGCAGACATTTGAGTTCTGTTTTTTCTAACATGTAGAGATAGTCCATGTGGATATTCCCAGAAAGTTTCAGCCTTGTAGTTCTGTAACTTTTCAAGGAAAAAATTTATTTGGGTTTGAGCACTTTTTGACTACCAGAAATAGCGTATTCTATTACATACGGAAAAATGAATATGAGCCCCCTTCACAATTTTGTGAACCGTACAAGAAACATAAAAGTTGTCAAAAACTATTCTCAGTCGATCGAATCAGTCAATATGGATAACGAGGCTAGAATATTGTTTGGAATAAAACATGTTAATGGTAGTAATGTCAGAAACTTAGATGTTTTCCATCCTGAAATTAAAGTGGAAATGAGTATTTTGGGTAGAACTGTTAATTTTACACTGGATACTGATGCATCTGTTAAAGTAATTCCAGAAGATTTGTATTTTGAAACGTTTCCTGATGTGTCTATGGAAGACATCTATGCTATATTACGTGGTTATTCTGGTTCTATTATACCTGTTGTAGGTGGAATATTTGTAGATGTTGTGTATAGTTGTAAAAAGTATAGTGATATGCGTATTATTGTAGTGCAAAGAAGTAAACAACCATTATTAGGCAGAGAGTGGCTCAAAACAATCAAATTAAATTGGCAAAATTAGTAGTATTTTAGACAGATATAAGTCAGTATTTAAGCCCTCTAGCAATCTCATAACTCCTTTTGTGGCTAATGTGAAAATAGTGCTCCTATATATTTGGTAGTTCGCGTCCGGTATCGTATGCTGTCAAGGATTCCGTAGAGAAACAGCTTTATCATCTTGTGTTAACTGGTGTATTAGTAAAAGTGGAGAAAAGTGAGTGGTCATCTCCAATCGTAGTTGTACCAAAGAAAATTCCTGGTGTTGTGAGAATATGTGGAGACTATAAAGTTTCAATAAATCGTTATATTGAAGACGAACCTTATCCTTTTCCTACAACTGAAGATGTGTATGCAAATCTGGTGGTGGTTATATTTTGTAAGTTAGACTTGTCAACTGCCTATCTACAAGTGCTATTGGATAAAGCATCAAAGGAACTGTTGCCAATTGATACCTATCTTGGATTGTTCCAATATCAGAAGTTACCTTTCGGTGTTAGTACTGCTCCTGCTATATTTCAGAAAGTTATGGACAAAATTCTCTGTGGATTAGATATAGTTGTACAATAGACGATATTTTAATTAGTGCAACGAATGACTCTCGGCACAATGAACTTTTCACTGAAGTACTCAGTAGACCTGAACGTCATGGTATCACTTAAAGTCGTGAAAAATGTGAATTTGGTGTTTCTAAACTAGAATATTTAGGACATGTTATTGACAAAAATGGTTTGTATCCAACACCTAGTAAAGTTCAAGCAATCAGTAATGCTAAATTGCCTACTAATGTTTCAGAATTAAGATCATTTCTTGTGATTAGTATTATTACCATTTGTTGCCTAATTTTTCAACTGTATTGTCTCCATTGTATCATTTGTTAGGTAAAGATGTTGAGTTGAATTGGACCATAGAATTTACTTCAGCTGTTAATTCTGTTAAAAAGTTTCTTACTAGTGATAGGTTGTTAGTTCTTTATAGTAATGATAAGAAATTGATTTTAGCATGTGACACATCTCCAGTAGGGATTGGTGCAGTTATTTCTCATGTGATGGTCAAGAACGTCCAATAGCTTATGCATTTCGTACATTGAGTAAGGCAGAGAAAACTTATAGTCAAATAGATCGTGAAGCTTTAGGTATTATTTTAGGTAGTATTTATATATTCGTCCATTTGTGTTAATCACTGATCATAAACCGTTAACTACTTTGTTTAGTCCGAAAGTTGGTATTCCTACTTTAACTGCTATTAGAATGCAACGATGGAGTCTTATTTTAGCTGCTTATCAGTATACCATTGAATACAGAAAGTCTTCTGATCATCGTAACGCAGACATGTTATCTAGATTACCATTAGAAAATGTTGATAGTAATATTTGTGAATTGGAAATTAATTACTTTACGTATACTAATGATCTACCTGTTACTGCTTTAGATATAAGTAATGAGACTAAAAAGGATCCCATTTTATGTAAAATTTGGCGTTATGCACGGATGGTCAGAGCATAGAGTGACGATGTTTCATTGGATCCTTATTTTCGTCGTAAAAATGAAATTAAGTTTAGATAATGGATGCCTGTTATGGGTGTTACATGTCATAATTCCTCAAAAGTATCGTGGAACTGGGTTTAACTGAGTTACATAGAGTATGGGTATTGTAGATAGATCATATTTTGGTATCCTAATATGGATTTTGATATAGAAAGTTTAGTATCAAGATGTACTGCTTGTATTAATGTTGAAAAAGGCTATAAATTATGCACCTATATTTTCATGAAAAGTACCTTCTAAAGGAAAGAGCTCATATTGATTTTTTCGAGCTTAATGGTCGGAATTATTTGTTAATGTTTTTAATTGATACTTATTCTAAATGGTTAGAAATTGAAGAAATGAATGGTCCCCAATTTTCAAGTTATGAGTATAAGAAATTTATGTCAAAAAATGGTATCAAATGTACATTTTCCCGACCCTATCACCCTAGTTCAAATGGTGCAGCAGAACGTAGTGTTCAAACTGTTAAATTGTCATTGAAAAAGCATTTTGAAGATACAAATTCTAATTTGTCTGTTCAAAAATGCCTTGCATCATTTTTATTTACTTATCGTAATACACGTCATACTGTAACTAATCGTAAACCTAGTGAATTATTACTTAATTGAGAAGTTAGTACAAGATTTAGTTTATTAAGGCCCAATATTCAACAAAGAGTAGAGTCTAAGCAAAATGATGAAATTGCTAAAAGAAATGTTAATCGCAAGGTCAGACAATTTGTTGAAGGTGAGAAAGTAAGAATTTTAAATGTTGTTAGTACTTATCCTAAATGGTAATATGGTAGAATAGTAAAGTGTTTAAAGATGGGTTTCCTTATTTTTTAGTGTCAAATTATTTGATTAATTGGTGTTTCTGATGAATTATCATGTATTCCTAATCATATCATTATGTTCTTATTGCATATGATTAAGAGTTTTAACCAATCTTTAATGCCCATGTATGTACAGTCTGGATAAACAAAAAAAAAAGGACTTTTTGACCTTTCTTGATAGGTCGCTCATTGAAACTCTGCTCATAATTCTCTTCTAATTTAGCTAATTGTGTATTAATTATGGACATGTGGGACAAACTGATATTTTTCAAAGTCATTAGAACACCTCTACTTTCTATTCATACAAGTATTAGCATTTTCATTTTCATAAATGAAAATAAGGGAACCCATATTTAAGTGCTGTCAGATATTCACTTAAAATAGGATATCGTAAACGTCAAGTGCATGTTGATCATCTCATGGAAACACATGAGCATAAATCATCTGATGAGATTGACTCTATTCCTAATTCAGATGTTGATTTAGATGTTAAAACTAAAGTTGAAAAAGTGAAAATGAAGTTCCAATAGATAATAAAAACATTCCTGTATTCATTCTAATGTATCAAATTATTTTAAACCTAATATTGTTAAGTCATCTGTTAAAAATCAGAATATTATTCGAAGATCTGAAAAAATTCGAAAACCACCTGGCAGATTTATAGTTAATATGTAAAAGATTAAATTGAAATTATTTATATTAAAGTATTATAAAAAGTTGTTATTTCTAATGTGACGGTGAATGTATTAGTTATACAGTGTAATATTTAGTTAATCATGACATTTTCTTTGAAGTATGATATTAGTATGTTATAACTTTTAGTTTAGTGTGGAGGGATGTTATGTCCATACATTATTACCATGAAATATCTTACTATGGTATATCACCCAGGCCAAAATCATATCCCTACAATATTGTGTAACAT